GCGGGCAACCGACCCATTACATTCGCTCTCTGCGACTATATGCCAGAGAGTGTCACCTCTGCCCTATCGTGGCCCCGCTTCGCCCTGCGCACACATCAGAGCCGCCGCCGCGTTTTCCACAACCTCGCCCAATTGCTTTCTCCTTCCCGGAAAGCAGGACAAGAAGAAACACCAGCAATTTGTACGACGATGGCAGAAGCGACTTCTCGGTGATTCAGAGCCAATTGGCGCACATGTTGACCCATACGACCCAACATCGCCTGTTCGCATAGCGCCGGAGGAACAAGGCGAGTATGTGGAAGTGCTCGACGACGAGGGGCCCAACTTCCCCCACTACAAACCTTCGGAGAATATCAGTGGTCTCCAGTGTGTTGGCGGCGAGGAGTGGCTTAAGCAGAAAGTGGAGAAGGACATGGCAGTGGAATTCGAAAAGCTTACACTGCGCACCTACACCCCGCTCACATTGGAGATGGCAGACGAGATTGAAGAGCTCACTGGCACCCCGTACACCCTCAAGGACGAGAATTTGATGATGGCACAAACCGTACATGAGAAGACGAAACGCCCATATACAGCCTACAACTTTGGTCTTCACACAAAGGTCACTCGTCCCAGCGATCTGCGCAACCGCTTCACACAGGCTATCGCCGAAATCTACACCATGAAGCAGGCTGGTCTCGAAATGGACTTTTCCAAGTTTGTCAACCGCGGAATTTATGATGCGCCACGTTGGGTCAAGGACATCAAGTTGGTCAAGACGGATAGCGGGGACCTTGCCCTCGCGTTTCCTCAACACAAGAGTCTCGAGCAGCTTCTGGAGACTATGCGAAGCGCCCCAACTTGGGAGCCTGCACTTGAGGAATCAGACGAGCTTCTTGTCGACGAAGCCGAGGACATTGTCGCAACAGAAGAGCAACCCCCGACCATGGACCCTGACACACCAGCACACAAGCGGGCAGCCGTGGTAAAGATGGATGACGAGAAGAAGCCATTCGACTTCATGTCGAATCGCCCTGTTCCTCGTAGCAAGCCGGTTGAGAAACCGGCTGTTGAGGAAGTTACACCTACGGCAATTCCAACTTCAACTTCGACTTCAACTTCGGCAGAGCTTCCCACTCAAGAATCCGAGCCTCAGCCTGTGAAGAAGTCAGGGAATAAGACACAGCACTCAATTCTGGAAGATAAAGCGCAGCGACTGGCCAAGGACTTTGCGGCTTGGAGGAGAGCTGTACAGCAGGCCCGAACAAGCGGATCTGCCGTCAAGTCTGAGGAAACAAAGTGGCGACAGATCCAAGTGGCTGATATCGACCTCAAGTTTGCTGTAAGTGCTGTTTCTAATCACAACATAGTAAAAAAAATACTAACTTCATATGATCAGCTCTACAAACGTCTCTACCAACTTACAGGCTACCACATTTCCGACCCAGATCTGACTTCCGCAAACACTCTTGGAGACCTATACAATAGTCTCTGCCTAGCTGCCAAGCCGCAGCCCACCAGCCTTTTCTCCGCTATCCATGTTGAAGGCCAGAAGGCGCGAGAAAAGGCCAAGCGAGAAGCTATGTCTACTGCCGAGAAGAAGCGAAAAGCTGACCTCGGTGATTTGATCAACTTGGGCAATGTCGAACTTCGCCGAGTCAAGGCTACCAAGCCGGAAAAGCGAAGCAAGATTGGTCTGGACAAGGTGGTGCACTATGCGCTGTGGGAACGTGGCCTAGGCACTGGTATACCGCTGAGATCAGTTAAGAAGGGAAAGAGAAAGGCTCGTGCCGTGGTTGGATTATCACGCAAGCGAGCGGAATTTTCAAAACCGTTGAGCAGCAAGGGGGCGGATTTCTTGGCAAAGAAGACGAGGATGTGGAGAGAGGGGCGGGAAGCAATGACCCAGTCCTCGGCTGTGTAAGATGTCCAGTGCGTGGATATAGTGTCTATGCTAGGACGGGGAAAATAAAGGTGTACTATACTATTGAATGTCCTTATGAAGGAACATGGACCATTGGTTTTCCGAGAGAACGGATTGGTTCCCTGCCACTTTGCGTAGTGATATGCTCGTATCTGGCGAGGAAAGTTTACGATAGTCAGCTAGCCGCGACGATTCACGGGTACTTGCATTCGATGGGTGTTAATGAGGTTCGATCGACAGTTGTTGATCGTTGATAAGTATCCAATCGGGTTAGTTGTTCGTTCGGCACGTCCATGACGGCCGTAGTTAAGCTTCGACCCTGCCGCCTTGGCTCCAATGAGGTTCAACGGACATTGGTCAGCACTACATCTGCCGTGCTTACTTATTAGTATTGTTTCCATATCAACTTCACACTTTGCCAGGGCTGATGCACTCTTCGTCAGTTAGGAATCTCGCATGTGCATGCATGGCTAGTGGTGCTTAGCTGCGGAAGCACCTAGCAAGTGGCAGTACAGCAAAGTAAAGTAAAGCGATCGTAGGTACATTGCCCGATTTCCTCCATCCAAGCGTGGCTATGGATCCCGTTCAAGCCACTGCATACTATCTTATCTTACCGATATCTTTTAGCTCTTTCTAGTACTAGCCACCATTCAATACCCTGTAGCCTATCCCATACCATCCAAGTCGAACATGGGTGTGATTGACCTTTCTGTACTCCGCACCGGCGCTGCAACGGTCTTTTTTCACTATAATATATCCATGAATACGCCGACGCGGCGGCAACACCCGAGGATGCAATAACTCGACCCGTGTGCCCATCCACGCAACGGTACCTTGTGTCCTTCTTTTTTTCTCTTCCTTTTGCGCCTTGAGTTTTCCACGTCGACTTCAACCCGCAATGGATACGGAAAAGGCGCAGGACAAGACCAGTGTGTCGAGCGACAATGGCGTCGATGTTGCCACCCACAAGCCAGAGACGGGCATCCTAGCTAGATTACTTGCGCTTGAAGCGCGATTAGATGCTAAAATGGGCGTCGAGGCCGAGGCAATCACCCGGAAAAGAGCTGAAGACAAGCGACATGTGCCGTGGCACCAACAGCTCAACATGATGTTTATATGGGCCTCAGGCTCAATGAATACGTCGTGTTTTGCAATCGGGTTCTTGGGTCATGACCTTGGGTTGAGTAAGCATTCACATCGACTCCCTAGGACTTAAAAGAAAAAAAACAAAACAAGCTGACTCGATATGTGTGAATAGCACTCCGCCAGTCCGTTGTTATCACCATTTTCGCAACTCTTCTTGGTGGAGCGGCAACAGGGTTCGCAGCAACATTTGGAGCGCCGACTGGTCTCCGCCAAATCTCCATCTCTCGGTATTCGTTTGGTTGGTGGCCGACCAAGATCATTGCTTTTCTCAATACCATTCAGCAGATCGGATGGGCAGCAGTAGCATGTATTGCAGGCGGTTTGGCGCTCGAGGCCGTCGCAGACGGCCACCTATCGCTCGTAGTAGGCATCGTCATAATCGTCTGCGTATCCACCGTCTTTTCGTTCATAGGGCTTCGCGCCGTCCTCTTCTACGAGCGCTACGCATGGTTCGTCTTCTTCGTCATCTTCATCATCATTTTCGCAGAAGCCGGAAAGTACACGGACAACAGCACCACCACCACACTCGAAGGCGCAAACCTCGCCGGCTGCGTACTCACCTTACTCGCCATCGTATACGGCAGTTCCGCATCCTGGCAAGTCATCGCATCCGACTACTACGCGCACTACCCCGTCGACGTGAACCGCTGGAAAGTCTTCATCCTGACCACGCTCGGCGTCGCCGTCCCAACCTCCATCGGCATGTGCGCCGGCATCGTCGTCGCGTTTGGCCTAAACAACCGCCCAGACTGGAACACCGTCTACCGCACCCAAGGCCTCGGTTTCCTCGTGCAAACCGTGCTGTACCCCCACGGCTTCGCAAAGTTCATCCTCACCCTCCTCGTCCTCTCCGGCATAAACACAAACGTCATTTCCATCTACAGCGCCGCGATTTCCTGCCAGCAGTTCGCCCGGCCCTTCGCCCGCATTCCACGTATCATTTGGGTTCTCCTCTCTTTCGCCGCGATTCTCGGTCTCGCCATCGGCGGCCGCGCAAAACTAAGCACGTATCTCCAGAATTTCCTGAGTCTCCTGGGTTACTGGTGTACGCAGTACTTTGTCATTGTGTGCAGCGAGCACGTCATCTTTCGCAAAATGAACTTTGCGAATTATGATCTCGAGGCGTGGAATGATCCTTCGCGCTTGCCCCTCGGTCTCGCGGCTGGGGCGGCGTTTGGGCTGGGCACTGTAGCGTGGGTTATGGGCATGGTGCAGACGTGGTTTGTGGGGCCGCTGGCGAAGCAAATTGGGGGTGGGGGTGATATAGGGAATGAGTTTACGTTTGTGATTACGGCTTTGATTTATATTCCGGCGAGGGTGTTTGAGAGGAGGATTATTGGTAGGTAGGAGGTGTTTGGAATTCATGCGGGGATTTTCAAGGGTAAATATGAGGGGGTACAAGATGCGAGAAGGATAGAGCTATTCGCTTTCCTCTCGGTGGAATGGGAATCTCAATTGGCAATAATGCATGTATTGAGTATTACGTGTGAAGTTGAAGTTCGATACCAAATCCCTCTTGTATATAAGAAGAGTATCGAAACCGAAGTAGAGATAAATACCTCATGCAATCTGAAGACATGTATGTACACTCCAGAATGAAACGGGATACGCCATTGGTGGGAAAAGAAGCCCGGGTGGTGATCAGGATGTGTGTAGGAGGGGGAAAATAGATGTTCTGACACTGTGACACCCACGGATTAATATATTGGCATTGATTTTGTGCGATGTTCCATACTCTTGCCCATGTTAGCAACAAAAATAAGACAATTAATTATAAAAATACGCAATGGGAACAAACGAATGGTGGATATGTATAATAGCGTAGTCCAGGACTAACACGATAAAACGTCTATGTACAGACAGTAAAGCCAATCAACATCCATGACCGTTAACTTTTTGCTAGGGTGTCTCAAGTACTACATTATCATTAAAGGAGCGTGATTCACATGCTTCAAGGGAGATTAGCAAGCTTGATAGTAGAGACCTGGATATTGGCCTTGTTCTCGCTGTATGCGACAACCATTTGATCACCCTGGAAAACGGCCGAGGGCCAGTAGAAGCCAGCCAAGTCGGAGCTCTCACTGGGACGAGTGCCAACAGGAGCATTTTCCTGGGAGTCGCTGCGGAGGATGCCAATGTTGCGGAATGCAAGGTCGTCGCCGCGAGAAGTGGCGACGGTCAAGATTTCCTGAGACAGATCCTTGTTCATGCCGCTGTTTGAGATGTACACGCGGAGCTGAGTGGAGCCCTCACTGCTACCGTACCAGGCCTTGTTGGAGCTGTAAATGTTGGTCTGTTGGATCTTGGAGCCGTCTTCCGTTGCGGGGAACCAATTATTGCCGGTGAGATCGCTGGTATATTCAACAAAAGCATTGCCAGTCTTATTCCTCAAGGAGACATCGGCCCAGAATCGCATATAACGTCCTGGACCCGAAGAGCCGGGAAGGTAGACTGCATTGGTGGGATAGGTGACGTTGTGTTTGCCATCAGCAGCGATAAGGGGTGCGTTGAAGAGAGAGGTTGCTTGAGCCGGCACGGCTTGTGGGTTCCTCAATGCAGCTAGAATCTTCTCCTTGTCATCGCACACCTTCATGTGGTACTTTGTGCCGTAGACCGTCTCAGCCCATTCGTGGCTGCCGGTATAGTCATTGGTCTCGATCCAGCATGGGTCGCCTGAGAATGTACTACCAGACAACGGATCGCGGTTTAGCTTACGGGCGATGCGACCGGCTGATTCAGTGTGTCCAGGACAGACGTTGTCACTGGACTGTGCAACTGCATAGTATGTCGCGTCAGACTCGCCTCCACCAATATAGACAATGGACAGCGCTTGCAAGGCTCTTTGGGGAATGCCACGCTTGCAATAGTACTCCGAGGTCTTGATGGTTGTCTGGTTTGGTAGAAGAGCTGCCGGAAAGGCAATCTCCGGTTTGCTCCATTTCCCATCTGTGGAGTAAGAGAGTCGCACATCTTGACCCATGCCATTGATATCCTGTTGAGCGCCAGAGAAGAGCAAGAAAAGGGTGCCGCCCATGTTGTAAAGGAATGGGTAGTAGGAGAATTTGCGATTGTCATCTGCCGCCTTGTCGATTGGGGTAATGACGGAGTTGATTTGCGTCCACCTATCCTGCCCGGGCTCCTTTGGGTCACGTCTGGCAGGAACTTGCCAGAGGTTGTCCCCATTGCTCTGTCGCTTGTCAACTCCGCTTGGTGCAGCCAATGCGCTGGCGGCCCATGCGGAGAGGAGAATAATATTAGTAGGGACCATTTTGATGGTTCTGTCAATTAGGGGTTACTGGTAAAGAGATTGGTGGTGAGCGGTGAACAATCGAGAGCCCGGACGGCCCATTATATAGTACTACAAGCATCAAATCTCACGTGTTCCAGCAGTACCCCAGCATTGTTAGTATATTGCCGCAAAGCTTGAATGGAGTGAGGAGGCCATGACGCACAGGTCCAGGATAGGGAGAAGCGGAGCTAGTGTGGCGGTGACAAACTAACTCTCCCGAGCAACCGAAAACTCGACTATTATTAGACAAGATTATCCCATTGGCTCCAATGTCTACTCAAGCCGATCACCCGGTCAAGGCACTCGTCACGATACGAGGCTGTTAAGTATTATTGACGAGGATGTCGCTCGAGCCAATGCATTGCTACATACCCGAAGGCTCGCTATCCCTGCATTCAATCCCAGCAGAGAACCACCTTACCAATTACACTAATGCCCAAAGACATCTCCATTGCAAACATGCGCTTTTTCATGCTGTTTATCGTCTTCTCATTCCACTCACTGTCAACTCATCGCTCATACTACGGATCCACTGCCGTAACTTTCGGAGTCTTACTTACATGAGACGCCGACGGCAAAGTTCCCGCCTAATTTAGGACCCGTCCGAGGTCCAAGTTGGGCGCTGCTGGGCCGGGAGCAACGTCATTTCAGACAGTCAATGCGAATGTTTATGGCCACTCCGACGAAGCTATTGCCAGTCCGATGGATCCGTGCCAGCGCGGGGTATTACGATGGAGAAGGTCGTGGCATGCATGCTACTGCTACAAGCAGATACAACACACCACGAGACAAGTCATGTGCTACGTCATGTTTCCTATTCTGGACAACCAATAAAAGAATACTGTCACGATACGGGAAATGGACGAACAGCATTCATAGTAGTCTACTGATCGGCCAAAGATGGGAAGTTGAGCACGCAGACCTTGGAATCTAACCCAGAAGATTTGATCTTCATTCGTGTTGAGATGCATTATGTAATATCCTCTCGCTGCAGATGATGGGGATGCTCCATACGGAATAGTAATCTCCTTGATGATGTGAGACGGTACTACTTATTAAACATGTGTGGCGGAAACACGGACATGTGTAGGTGCCGAATTTCGTGATCCTCTCGCTTGCAAATGGAGCTGGCTCTAATAACATGAACTAAATGCTTCCGTTCAAACGATCGGAAACCGGCTGTACCTGGCAGTGTAATCACCATACCTCTTGCTCTGGCTGGGCCACTCTATCAAGACACCCAATCCAAGAATAATTGCATAATGTTGCCATACTTACGTGGTTTAAGTAGACCTCAACACACGAACACTTGTACGATCCTGTACCTTGCATGGCTAATGTTGTCCTCGGTGGTATCTCGGCAGTCCAAGCTCCAGATCCCGGCTCGTATGATTAAGTACCCCATGCAAACGCGCCGATCTGCCCATCCAAATCCCAATTTTCCATGTGCTTCACTCGTATTCCATTCAAAAATCACTGACATGAGATATTGCAGAAGTAAAGCAATCGGGTGTGAAGATGATACTTTCCAATCAACGATACTTCGTACTCTTATGTCCAATTTCTAATCTCCCTAGAGCCGGCACGACTCAAGTGAGCGTCGAGTATTTGATTTGAATCTAGTTTCTCATCTACTTACAATTTCTAGCAAAGAATTTTATTCATCTCAAAAACTACGCCTTCTCTTTGCCTTTGCCATATGCATCTACTACTGGGGCCTCTGGAATCTCCACTCCCTCAATGCCCCATGTCATCCCAGGATAAGAATCACTGTGCACTGAGATATCCAATCTCTTGCCTTGCGCTTCTGGTGGCAGTGAAACTTTGACTGATGCCTGCAAAAGAGAGCGCACGGCGCTTCCCATCGGCTGTTTGCCAGCTCCTCCCCGACTATTTCCGCCATTCTTGCTTGGGTCGGGCCAGTTGACCCGTTTGAGGGCGACAATTTCGTCGGTACTTGAGTACGAGATGATGGCAAAGAACCCTTCGGTCTGAGGCTTGGGATAACGCGGTGCGTATATTCGCACGCCACCCTGTTGCATTCTCGCCGAGTTTTGGCGTGTAGCCTTGAACTCGAGAGTGATGGCATTGACATTTCCTAGGTCAAGCTTTAGGATAGGTAGGCGGGATATAGGCTCTATGAAGCGTTTCAGACCACCATGCGAGACGCCTGCAAACTTCCCGGCGCGTTCAAGATCGGCTGTGGCAATGGATGTGGCTTCTATTAGGGTCTTTGGTTTGGCTTTGGGATGTTCGAGACGACTCTTTTCATTCTCAACATCAACACCTGGAAAGATGGACAGTGGCCCATCGTTAGGCCAACGCGCTGACTTGATGGCTTGCAGAATGGAAATAACGGTCTCGCATGAAGACCGATAGCCAAGTTCTGTCAGAACATCAATCGTGGCTTGAACGATACGGATACTCTGATCCAGTACGCTGTTTTGATCACCCACGTAATCTGAGATTGGCAAGTCAATGCGCGAGAAGTGAGCCTGCAAGAGTAAGAAAGCTTTGACATGCGGGTCCCACATTGGTAGACCAAAGTCGTCAGCAGAAATTGGTAGCGCTTTCGAAAGTTCCATGTTTATGAGATCCTCATTGTGCCGAACAGGGAGCTCGTCGTACTCGGTAGCATGCGAAATCCAAGCCAAAGCTTCGGCAAAGGTGGCGTCGCGCTTCACATTCTGCACGAAGTAGCGAATCGTTTTATGGCTGAGGTAATAGTAACTCATAATCTTTCCAAGGGGGGTGGGATCGACTTCGCCAGTTGGCTCAACGACAGCACAAGACGATTCGTCTAACTCTCTTAGTGATGTCTCTACCAGCTCAACCATGTAATCATTGGCCATTGATTGCGCAGCTATTGTGTTGTGCTCTTCCGCCGAGATCTCGAGACCGTAGAATGAAGGGTTCTTATGCAGGCGACGGAAGAAGAAGGTCCATGTCAGATAGTCTAACGCGTCTTGCTTTGTGGTGATCGTCCCAGCGGATATTTCGGCGCCCAGATGGTTGTCCAAGACCTTGTGCAATGATGACTCAACGGGAAAGCCAGTATGTAGGAAGTGCTTGTAGAATTCTTTTTTGGCATCCTGCGTGAAAATACGCGCGATACCAGAGTCGTCAAACTGCGGGCGCCCAGCGCGACCCAACATTTGTAAGACGTCTGTCAAGTCCATGTCCTTGTATCCTTCAGTCTTTGCGTCGAAAAATTGAGTACCTTTAACGACAACGAGATGAGCGGGCAGATTGACTCCCCAAGCAAGGGTACTAGTAGCAACAAGGATTTGGATCTTGTTGTTTGCAAAGAGCTCTTCCGACAAGGAGCGGTCCGACTCGACAAGACCAGCATGATGCAAACCAATACCAAAGCTTAATGCCTCCCGTAATGAATCATCATGAACGCGGTCCAGATTGAGCGCCAGATCTTCTTCTGACATGCGCAGGAAGCGCCGTGGGTTGTCCTCCATTCCACAGAAGTTTATCAAGTCGCGAGCCGTCAAACGAGTTTGTCTTCGAGACGCTACAAAGACAATGACTGGTTTCTCTGGGGAATGGGCCTTAATAGCGAGGAATGTAGGTCGATTCATGGACTGCATGAGTGGGCAGAACCCTCGCTGCTCTGGGAAGCCATCAATAAAGATTTCCAAGGGAACTGGACGCACAGAGTGCCGGAAATTGAAAAGGCCCTCCTTGACGCCAAGCCAGTTGCCGAGATCTGATGCATTTGCACATGCAGTTGACATACCAAGCAGGCGAATGGAACCATCTTTCTTTTGTGAGGCGATGTAGTTCATGCGCGACACAATGATCTCTAAAATCGGACCACGGTCACCACCCAATAAGTGGATCTCATCAATAATGACCAGGCTGACTTGACGAACGTAGCCACGGGTCTGCCAGCTACGACTGATACCGTCCCACTTCTCGGGAGTTGTAATGATGATATCAGCATCTCGAATAGTGCGTGTATCTGGCGTGTTGTCACCAGTCAACTCGACGAGCTTCAGGCCCATTGGCCCTGCTAGGCGCTTCCCCCAATCCTGTACTCGCTCTCGGACAAGCGCTTTCATTGGAGCAATGTAAACGACCTTTGAGCCTGGTTTTTCACGGAATGCCCACCACATTGCCAGTTCAGCGGCAACAGTCTTGCCACTGCCAGTAGGCGACCCAAGTAAGACATTTGCAGACGTGTGGTAGAGGCAATGAAAGATTTGCGATTGCATAGGATTGAAGTACTGGAAGCGCTGTGCATACACCTCTTCCAGTAAAGGGTTTTTTAACGCCGCTATTGGCAAAGGCTGAAGGTTCAAGAGGTCTGTGTAGACGCTCTCGGTGTCGGGCCGGATCAGATGTTGGAAGGATATGGGGTGCACAGTTTCCGCTCCCAACCAGCGGTCGGAAACGGCGCGAACATAGACTTGCGTCGGGAGCGGGTCGGATAGCGGGATTGTGAAGTCTAGTTCGTGGTCGTCATACAGCTTCTTCCTCGATAGAATGAAGAATTCGTGATGGAAAATCTCAGATGTCTCGGAATTCTCAACCCAGATCCAGAACGATTCCGAAGTGCCATGGTGACGATCATTCCAAACGAAGTCGGGTGTGAGAAACAATCGTATCCGAAGTACGTCCCTGTTCAACGGGGCAATCTCCGACTCAATGCTCAGCGTAGGGAAATTTTGCATCAGTTTCGAGATCACATTTCCCATCTTCTTGTTGTGCACCATATCTCCAATCTCGGTTGGATCCATGTCCCTCAACATTTGTATCGAAGGATTCTTGTGATCCAGGGCTCGCAGTACTGGTTGTGGAAGTTCGTATTGGTGTAGAGGATGTTGAAAAGACCAACATCGGTGCTCAATAGATTGGCAAAGACTCAGAAGCACCAAGCATTGATAACCCCAACGCCTATTAAGCGCTATCATGAACAATGCACGTGCAATACGCGCGGCGTTTTGTGTGATGTAGTTGGTGTCCGATACGAGAGTGAAGTCTTCCAAGCGTGCTCGGGAAATATGTGCTTGGAGTAGGTAGTTTGTTTTCCCGTGTGATGTTGCGTAGCCGTCTTTGACTTGAGTTATCACGTGGCCCTGTTCTTTGAGTGCAGAGAGTTCTTTCTCCTCGCTCTCTCGTGATTGTACCTGATCGAACTCACCACTCATGCTGACCATGGCGAGGGCATCGGCATCTGTACTACGAGGTCGCATCATCGCATTGAAGATCTCGATACTTGATTGTTGCACATAATACTGACTCGCGATGCGGCCAACATCTTTGGCCCGTAAGTCTTCAGCAGTCTCGTTGAAAATGATCATCTGACTTCTCTGCAAGGTGCGCGCTGCGTCGATGATGAGCTTGCGCCTTCTTCCAACCAGTTGTGGATCATCGCGTATCTCTGACCACTCAATTCCGTACATGAGCGGGCTTTTTTGCATGCGCACGAATAGATACGAATACCCAAGCCAGGTAACAGCTTCAGAGACAGTCGTGACCGTGCCCAAAGATATCTCAGCGTTAAGATTATCGATGAGTCTGCTAGAGAACCTCGACTCAATTGGCTGTTGCTCGGTCACGGCGCGCATGTAGTGGTCGAGTCTATCGTGTGTGGTACAGATGAACCCGATGCCACTGTCTTGAAACTGAGGTCGACCAGCACGACCAAAGATCTGCAAGACATCAAGGATACCAAGATCCGTGAACTTACCTTCTTGGGCATTGTAGACCTGAGTTCCTTTAATGAGTACTGCTGCAGCAGGCAGATTGACACCCCAAGCAAGTGTGGCGGTACAGCAGAGAATCTTGAGGACACCTTCTGCGAATAGACGTTCGATCAAGTTCCTATCAGATCGAGGCATACCGGCATGGTGAGTACCCATTCCTTTTCCAAGCAACTCCCTCAACTCCCTACCCTTTGACTGCTTCATGTCCCGCACAGCGTTTTCGTATCGGGGATGATCCTGTGGGTCAAAGAGATCGGTACATTGCTCTTCCATGGCCATGTCATACAATCTCCTGGCTGTCTTTATGGTATCCTTTCTTGAGTGCACAAAGACCATGATTTGATGACCGAGCTTGAGCATTTCAACAACCTTGTCAAATGCAACTTTCTCGAGATTCTCCCGTGATTTGGCAGTACCGGGCTTGCCCTTGGCGCCGATAAAGTGTTGTTCCAACGGTACTGGACGGAACGAGGCGTCAAAGTAGAACAGTCCAGCCATCTTATTGACGTGAAGGAAATCGGCCACATCGACGTAGTTGGGCAGTGTAGCCGAGAGACCAACAATTCGAATGAGGGACTGTGTACTTTCGACTTGCCGTTGAGTGCGCGCTACCAAGCTTTCGAGAACAGCACCACGCTCATCGTGCAGCATATGGACTTCGTCTATGATGAGGAGTCGGACCTTTTGGACTAACTCAGTGTCACCAGTGCTCTTCCTCGTAACTACATCCCATTTTTCAGGGGTAGTGACGATGATTTGAGTATCGAGGATCTCAGCTTTGGTGAGGTGCATATCCCCTGTGAGTTCTCGCGCTTTTATACCCAACCATGCGAGGCGCTTCCCAAGCTTTTCAGTGACCTCCGCAGCGAGTGCCTTCATGGGTGCTACGTAGATAATCTTGAAGTCCTCCGCCATGACAGTGAAGTCAGTGGCTCCTGGCTCGTCAATGGGGTTTGGGATGACATTCTTCGCCACGGTGTTGAGGATGGTAAGCATGGCTGCATCCGTTTTACCGGCACCCGTGGGTGCGCAGATGAGCATATTTTCGCTGGTCTTGTATGCAACGGGGTATACTAAGCTCTGCATGCGATTGAGGGTCTTGTAGCCTTTGAAGGTGCGTTGGCAAAGACCGTCGAGTTCTCGAATCTCGATAAGCTTGCGTCCTGCGTCGATTGTACCTACTGGTACAGCTGGAATCTCATACTCCTCATATAGATTATTGTCACGGTGTACCGTATCTGGAGGCAGGGCATACTTCTTGCCATAGGCTGAGAGCTTATTCCCGGCGTCATGAGCTTTGTATACATGAGGGTACTGAGGTCCGGTACGATCCATGGCTGGTGCCAACGAAGCATTCTTATGCTCCCAATCTGCACGTCGCAATGCTTCTTCTCGCTCGGCACGAGTCTGTAAGCGGCCCATGACACTATTTCCTTGAGCAGCAGCTGGTTCACGCAGTGACTGCAAAAGACTTTGCCGGTGAGAAATGAGGTCAGCTACAAGGTCTAACTCCCCATAACCAACAATGTCTGCGAGCATCATTTGTAATTCTTCGTCTGCTTCTAGTTAGCTTTTATGGCGGGTTGAAATTGGCTCTATCCAGGCTAACCATTGCTGTCGCTGGACAAAATAGCAACTATTTGTTCCTTGAGCGCTCCTGCGTCCAGGCCAGAACTACTGCGAGCCACTTGAGAGCACTTTGCCGCTAGCCATTGCCCGTCGTGAGCGTTGCTTGCGGTGGGCACTTGTGTAAATTCGTCCAAATGGTCGCTACTATAGCCTTCTTCGTATTCATCACTGATGATGTCCCAGATATCCTCGCCACTGGCAGTTCCGGAGAAATCGTCGTCATCATCGAAATCAATGTCATGACCATATGCAGGAGCCTCTTCAGCATGAGGGGGCAGACCCAGCTCGGCAATAGCCTTACGCATGGCTTGAAGCTGCTCGAGCCATTGCGCCTGGGCTTCTTCAACAGTGGGCGACATGCTGCTTGATGCGGCGAAAGTAAAGGTGGTGGCCTCTGATTCACGGCTTGGCAAGATTGAACATGACGCTGGCGCTGGTGGAGTGGAGCAATTGGTCTCGGCCCGACGTGCCCCGCCCCCCTTGCACAGGCGCTATGACATAAGCAGAGCATTACCCTGTCGCCTTGGGCATGAGACGGACGAAGCGCTACATCAGGCGCATCTAGACATCGCATTCTCTCGATATACTGTCGCGGGGCACCAACTACCACCTACTCTTCCACACATACCTCTTTCCTACACCGTTGCCTACACTATCGTCGCCGCCATACAATAAACCGCCACAATGAAGCTCGTTTACATCGGCGTACGTCCTACCCTTCACCGCTGCCCGCCATACAACACACCCAGGGTCGCTGACAAGATGCAGGTTTTCAAGAATGACACCAAGGATGCCATCGAGCTGACGGGCGCGGAAAACCTCAAATCGATCAACAGATGGGTACAAAAGGGCGTCAAAGAAGGCGTACGTTAGAATCGCTTCCGCGCCAGCTACGCTCTCAGGCACGAGGCAGAGCGTATGGGAATGCATATGCTTACGGCGAGTGCAGATTGTCTTTGCTTCGGCCGTGGTTGCTAAAAGGACACCCCCGCACAAGATGACGGATGTCCTGGAAAATGGTACTATACGATCGTCTTTCAGGTCGCCCTGTGCTAACACTACGCACAGGACACAAGTTCCACGCCTTGGCTTCCGCTGACCCCATATGCGCTGTTGTCGTGACCGACGATGAATACCCCAGCAGTGCCGCACATCGCATTGTCCGCAAGGTCCTTGATGAGTTCTCTGCCAAATACCCTCGCTCTGCCTACAGCGGCTTCACAACCGACGCCGCCAAATTGTCGTATCCCGAGCTCAAAGAATACGTCGAGAAGTACCAGGACCCGGAAACTGTCGATGCCACAATCAAGATCCAGCGGGAGCTTGACGAAACAAAGGTTGTACTACACAAGACTCTTGAGAGCGTCTTGGAGCGCGGAGAGAAGTTGGACGATTTGGTCCAGAAGAGCGAGGGGCTGAGTGCGCAGAGCAAGATGTTTTACACCCAGGTGAGCTTCTCGCAGCACCCCAAAACCATGGTCATAGTTACTGACGTTTGGATCAGGCAAAGAAGCAAAACTCGTGCTGCACGGTCATGTGAACTTTGGCTAGCTTTGATGAATCTTCCATTTGTTTGGGCGTTGGTATCTGCATTTCATAGTCAGGATAACGAATTTTGTATACCCATTACCCGTCCAGCACGTTGGTCTTCACACTTGCTCTGCTACACTAACATGTCTGATCTGCTCACCTAATCTCGTTCCTAGTGTATATTGTATTTTGCCCTGATCCCATGAGCGCGGGGAACAATGTTTCCTTGTTCCATGATGATGCTGTATAGAAAGCTATTAATGGCAGTAGTATGAAGGGTAGGCTGCAGACATGACTTCAACCTGATGCAATTTTAATCATCTTTGTCAGTCCGTACGTTCTCTTTCAAACTACAGTCATACATGTACAAGTGTATACATGTGTGTTTGCATGAATCAAAATAGGGGAAAGATGATTGATTTTGAGTATCTCTCAAGTATTGTTACCATCACTACCATTCAAAAGCAGGACGTGGTTACGTGAATTAATCCATGACCATGCACCCACACCTGCCTGGCCGGCACAATCGATAATCCCACTCATACACTCTCCTCTCCATATCCAAGCTGAAGCAGAGAATGCTGTTGACCTCACCATGATATCCACCCTGTTGACATTGGCCTTCCCCATCTCTCTCTACAAAAATTCCTCATAATCATCCTCGTCAAAGTCACAAGACTCCATTTCAGCAATGAGAGAGCGCCCGATACGTTCCCATCCGTCCAAGTCATAGAGTGTGGTACTGTGCTGCACTATTTCGTACTCTTCATCCGAACTCACGTTCAAGGTATCGTCTATATTGTCTTCGTTCTGTTGTTGGTCGGTCTCTCGGGAAATAGAAACCCATTCTTCCTCTGCCTCAAGCTCTTGATTGGGAGTTTCGAAAGGGGAGCAAATATCCTTTTCCCAGCCTTGAGAGCCCACCCTCATCCAGTAGTCCAAGCAGTATCTACTAGTTATGGGAGGACATGAGCGAAGACGTCCATTCGCCCGTGGGTTTCGATTGGCGAATATGGAGTCGACTTGTTGGGCTCGGACTTCGTCAGGGGATCTGCTTGTCGTTGGTTCGGTAGGAGTTGACATGACCCCAGGACGCACAATCCAGCCGCTGTCATGTCGCGTGCTCAAGTTTCCGGCTGACCCCGCTAAGTATGGAAAGCTACCACCTCTGGATTCAGAGTTTTGCGAGAGACAAGGACATGTAAAAGTTGCGGTCATAGGACAATACGCATTCAAACAACCCATGGAAGGCGGGTCGCTGTGCAAAAATGGGTAGGGCTCCGTTGGATATGCTCTTAGAAGAGGATGGGACACTGACCAAGGCGGTGGTAATGAGGTCGTTGGCTGAGATGCCATCCAGTTGTAGTGCAGGAGCGGGTTGGATAGGGAACGGAAACCTCCAAATGCTTGCAGGCACGATAGGGGAACCGGTCTACGTCGATAAGTCTCCTTAGCATGCTTACCTTCTGTTCCGTTTCCAATGGGCACGGAAACGGGTAGTGCGTCCATGAATCTCTGAGTTGAGGGTTTGAATAGAGGTTTCAATTCGGGAACTTGAGAGGGAGCAGTGAAGATTGGGCGCTCTTCTAGACCCAGTATAGCCAGAACTGCCTGATGCGAGTCGAAGGCGTCTTCAGGTGAGAGAATGGGAGACAAAGGTCTCTTGAAGGCGTGTCCGCAAGCTTTAACTGCCAGTTCCTTTTGGCGTGCGAGGAATAATGGTGCAGATTCGGCAAGACTATTTGAACCTTGGGAGACTTCTGTTGTTACCAAAGGTTGCGGGAATGCAGATTTAGACGGCCAACGGCCTGTGGCGTCGTTGCAATCTAGGAATTGTGAAAGGGTAAACAACCGTGGTTGCCTTTGCGGCACCCTTGACGGTTGGGAATTCGAAGCGAGTGTTGTTTCCACTGACGAGCATGATTTCACACTCGGCAGCGATGGATTCGTCAATGGGAGTGTGGTGGGTAGTGTATCTGATTGTAGCTGTGGCGGCCAATCAGAACTGTTTATTGCAAAGCAAAGGCTGCTGGTAACATCTGGTAGGTATCGACTTTGGTTTAGATCTCGAGGGTCCCCGGTAGCGGACGATGAATTATCCTCGAGACACTGTGTGGGGATCTTGTGACCAAGGGCGACGATGCTCTCCGTTGTACGTAGCCTAGCTATCCCAGCACTTTTTCTCTGGATCTTGTGGCGCTTTCCGGCACGTTTACGCCGCCGCCGCGGGTTAGCATTGGAGGTCGATGCGTTGGAATGCCATGGTGAATATGTTGATGACTTGTCAGGGTGTGCTAGGACGCTGAATCTGTTTGCTGTGCTAGCCTCAGATTTGATGTGTCGCAGTAAGGGAGGAAATTCAATGTACCGGTGGGAGTAAATTTATACTCGGGGCTGTGATCGGGCAGCCAACGGCATGGAGGGTTGCCGCTGTCTTTGGAACAATGCGCAGATGAAAGTGGCTGCGCAGGAATGTTGTCGCAAGAAGAGAATGGTGCTCGTTCTAGGATCATGCTAGTAGTGCGAGAAGAGGAAGTGCTAGTCTAGGAAATATAGGGAGAAATGAGGACAAGACGACATGAGCGCAGATGTGGAGATTTGCCTTGTGAAGGCCATGGTATCGCTCATGCCATGCAAGCTGTAGCATGTGTTTGTGTGCAGTACACGCAAGGAAGGGGGGATTGTCAGGTGATGGGGCTAGCCGCTTCTGGTTGAAGTACGAGGCAGGTAAGATGGATGCATTTGCATTGCTGCTCTTGTATAACTCGGGGCTTATTTGTGTCTGCTGAAGATACTCATCACGTGATCATCGTCACTGGGAGTTTGATCGGCGATGCGTCAGTTGAGATGATCGTAGTAGGAGTAACAACAAGAAATGTTCTGCGATGGCTTTGGAGATGGCATCTCGATGGATTGGTATGGGTGCATGGATGCGTGTGTTGAGTGTCACCAGCGTTGTAGGTATGTGTGTATATGCGTATTAGATAGTGATGGAAGCAGAGAAGGTGACTAATCGAGGTGGAATAGTCCAGTGCCTCCCATCTCGTCATCGGCGGCTGACAAAGGAAGCTTGGGCCTCTCGGGATCCCCAAGAGTAGTGCGTCTGTGTGTGTGTGTGTGTGTGTGCAGTAGTGGGGAAGCCAGCCTTGCATGTCTCCCGCTCTGCCTGGGCTCATCCATCTGTTCTGTTCCCAATTGCCCTTGACCCCACCCCGCAATTACTTTCGCCGCCCACACAATCCCCCCCTCCCACAGGCGCTCCAGGATAATTGGCATCACCCGCGAGCCTGCAATTACCTGGAGCCGCTTCTGCCGTGTTCATCCCGTCTCCGTCATATTTTCGCCCAACCATGGCCAATCCCTCCCGCCCACACTCGGCGCAGACGCACCATCGCCGCCCAGGCTCGCGCATCGTACCTGCAATTCCTTACCGCCTATCCAAAGCCCAGCCATCAGCGAGGCCCATTACGCCTGAAGAGTCCAACAAAGGCACTCCAGCGCCGCCGGTCGACCTGCAACCAGAGCAGCACCACCACCAGTCTGACGTACGCTCAGACGAACACCAAGCAGCCATCGCAGACACGCCTCCTACCCCCGATTCGAGGGCCTCTGCCGATATCACTGGAGATGGAGCTGGTGCACCTCGGTCGGATAGCGTCACTGGGGAGCTGTCAAACGGGCATACGCCATCTGCAGGCACTTCTGGTGGGTATTCGATATGGGCTACAGCCAACATGGGGCACGCACTAAGCTATGCAAATGTAGAAAAGAACCAACGCCGTGCGGTCAATGGCCACGCCAACGCCAAACCTCGCACTCCCCGCCCCGAGTCCAAGCCTGGCGTGAATGGCGTCCATCGCAAACTCACCATACCTACCTATCTGCCCCCGCCCTTTGTCCCCTCGAGCAAGGCAGGCACCCAAACACCGCCCGTCAACGGAAGCAACGCCACATATACCCCAACGCACCGTACCCACTTGAGCGGCGGTGCTGTAGCATCACAGAGTGCAAATGAGTCGCCGGCCATTCCCATCACTCCCCGCGAACCCGACGTCGATGTGCATGCTTTACCCCGACCTCCGCCTGGCTTTGGGCCCCAGCAATTTACTCCCTTCTTCCCCGGTCCCACCCAGTACACACCAGAAGGAGCGCCCTGGCACCTTCCTCCGCATACGGTTGCACCGCCCGACCCTGCCTACCAGAACGGGGTGGACTATCACGCCCCGCTCTTTTCAAACGGCCCTCATGCCTTTCCAGCGCCTTACAATGGCCATTTTTCTCCTCGAGAGGCTGCCCTAGCTGCGAACGGAGCCCTCAATTCTCATTCACAGTCGCCAACCAAAGCTCAATTCGAGACGATGCCTACCGTTGAACATGTAGAGGATCAGCACCCAATTGCCCACCAGGATGCGCCTCCCGAGGAACGAGTCGAGTCTTCTTTTGAGCTCGCAGGCTACTTATCCACGCAGTTTGGCAACGCCGAGCTTGCCGACTTCATCCTTCATATCAGGTCTCCCGAGTCTGTTCTGCTTTCGCTACCAGTACACGGAATCGTTGTGATGCGCAGTCCTATCATTGCAGAAGCTATACGCCACAGTACCGCACCTCCTCAAAGTAACAGAGACGCGCGCCCAGTGACCATCTTTGCGCGAGATCCTCTGGCAACCCGTGATTCTTTGGAAGAGGCCGTCCGAGTCTTGTACGGTGCGCCGCTTATCCGTCCTCAAGGATTTTTGTACGGACTCGAGCCGTTCGTATCATCTCCATCGCCTGAAGCTCGTCGCCGCATGCAGCAAGTCTTGGGCTACATTGCCGCGGCCAGAACTCTACAGATACCCAGCATGCAGTCCCGCGGCGTTCATACCGCCAGAATGCTGCTGCGATGGGATACTGTAGATCTGGTCCTGCAATACGCACTGAGCACCGACGTTGACGATCCTTTGGTGGCTGCCCTGATCAACCACGCACTGGCATTCATTGCCTACTTTTTCCCTGTAAACTTCAGGCTACATGCAATTGCGCCAGAACTCAAGGATGCACCGCGCCTGCCGACAGTGACGCCCGTGGAGTCTCGTCAGCCTGCCCATAATCCTCGGTTGAGCAAAATCCGGTTCGGTGATGCACCACCCGAAGATGACGTCCAAGTCCAGCCCAGTTACGCTACCTCTGTCCTTTCGACTATTCTTCTTTCTCTTCCTCTTTCGCTGATCGAGCACTTGTTCAACCAAGCGGCAGGCCAACGGATTAGCCCGAATGAGGTTGCGCGGCAACTACGAGATGTCATTGATGAGCGCGAAAGCCGGCGACAGAAGGCACTTCGAAGTCAGTCGACGCAGGCTCAAGACGGCTCCGTGTCAAGCCTGAACAACGTATACATTGAAGAGAATCTAGAGCAGGTCGAACCATCACCGCTCCATCCTTCTGGCTATCGGCTGACGACTAGACGAGTGTAGTTGTAGTGGGGCATGGGTAGGGCTTCAAGGTGGACAAAAGTAGCTGTGGTATGTGTGTTGGTAATTATCTTGGTTGTTTTGTTTGGGGGCCGCGATAGCTTTATTCGAGCAGATTTGTTATGATTTTCGAACAAGGGCACCAGGGCGATATTTGTGCAGGAAATACAGGATCGTTTTGGGTGCGTGGTTTTTTTTCCTTCCAATTTTGATAAAGTATGTAGCATAGCGAGCGTTGAGGGCGTTTTGCGTGGACATGAGGGACGAGTTGCTGATCCACGGCCTTTCCTACCAAAAGCACGAAACGACATGACGAAGCATATTCCCTTTGGAACACGACAGCATTGTTAGCGGAACAGTGTTCTGTAAAAGCACTACGGCATACTTCTTCTTTCTTCAAGGATGGCGTCTGGGTGCGAGGTTAGCTCTGGGCCGGGCAAAGGCTAAAAACAGGGTCGCAGTTTAGAGGCCTCTATAGGCCGCTTGGAAAAGTGAGTAATTCTTTTGTGCGCGTCTGGTATACATGTTTCCTCGTGTACTGCGTGCGTGTAGTAAGCCGCAGGTGGTGTATTGTAAGTCTTGCTTTGGCGACCTGAATTGTATTGTTTGTAAAAGTATCTTGTCAGTGCGGACTATGGTAGCAGTGCAACGCTAATAGGGTTGGACCAAGGAAAGGCGAAGGCGTGTCGTCTCCCCTCTCCCCTCTCGCCTGGATGTTGGTCTTGCCAGGAAAGTCGAGGAAAGGACGGATGAATGCCTAGCACGACGGCACGTGACGCGAGTCGAAGAGTAATCAGTTTGTGCTGCCGACGCCCTGTGCCTCGGGTGCCGAGGACGGCAAAGTGCTCCACCACGCTATGCTAGAGCGCCCCGGGAATTAGCCATGGGTCATCATCCATCATGGCCTCGACACGGGAATAATTGTAATGACACACAATTTGGTTTCATGACGTGCTTTCCGAGACCCTTTTTACTGACTTTGGTTTACATTTACTAGCCGACAGATCCCCCGCGGAGCATCCGCCTGCCATGTACTTTGGCTGTGGATATAGCAATAGGTAGACCCAGTACTAAGAAAGGAGGAGAACTGGTAAACACCAAAAAAAATAACAAGACCCACCATGGCAGGCTGCCGTCCGTACTCGGCATGCCGCACGCCCGTTTCGAATCATCGCGCTTGTGGCGCTCGTGCTCGTGCTTGTGCATGTCCTTGTGCTTTGCCCTCGGCCATTACTTTGCAGCGAGACGCGAGCAAAGTGCAGAAACGTTCCCCAAACCATGGCTCCTGCCCTCGTTTCTGCCCGACCCGCTTTGTTTTGCCAGCCTGTTGCCATTACTAATCCCTCCTACTGTCCTGCCGACTGACTACTGCCATACACTCACCGGTTCCGCCACACTTGAAATACCTCTTCGCTCCCCCTGTCCATGGGCTCTTTTCGCTGACAGGCACTGCCACTCATTCGTCTCTGCTGCCCAATTCCATTTGCATCGCTGTGGAGCCATTGGGGCCGATACTCTCTCTCCATTTCCTTCACCTCCACTCCGCCATGGACCATACCACACCCTCATGCCCAAAGAAAACCAGTTATGCCGCACCAGCATCAAGTGCATCACTCAACCTCGAAGAAAAGCCAGACAACCAGCCATCGCTCGCCTCGTCGGATTCAGTGCACAGCTCAGGCCCAATTGCAGTAGATGAGCATCCACAACACGAAAAACACGTGACCGAGTCTAGCAGCACCCAAGAATCAGGGGCAGACTTGGAACCTGTTCGGTCCGCCCACCCAAGCGTACGCGATGTCTCCAAAATCCCCAATGGCGGTCTATGGGCTTGGCTCCAGGTCCTCGGTGGCTTCTTCCTGCTCTTCAACTCGTGGGGCATCATCAACACATTTGGCTCCTACCAGGCCTACTACGAAACAACACTCCTGCCAAACTCAAGCCCATCATCCATCTCATGGATAGGCTCCATCCAAGCTTTCCTTCTCATGATGGTCGGCGCCCTTACTGGTCCCATCTACGATGCTGGCTATTTCCGTGAACTGCTTCTTGTCGGCAGCTTCCTGCTCGTCTTCGGCCAGATGATGCTTAGTCTCTGCCACGCATACTGGCAAGTTCTTCTTGCTCAGGCTTTTTGCATCGGCATCGGAACAGGCTGTCTCTTTGTGCCCAGCGTGGCTATTCTCTCCACCTACTTCAGTACTAGAATTGGCACTGTCATCGGTATTGCTGCATCCGGCTCTTCTTTTGGAGGTGTAATATACCCCATTGTATTTCACAAACTTCTCCCCCAGATTGGTTTTGCCTGGACCACTAGAGTCCTAGGTTTCATCATCTTCGCCACCATGGTCATACCCAATGTGTGCATGCGCGTGCGCGTCTTGCCGGCAAAGTCGCGCTCGCTGCTTGATTTGCGTGCTTTCCTGATTCCTGCATACAGTCTGCAGGTTACGGGTTTCTTTTTGGGTTTCATGGGCTTGTATATGCCCTTCTTCTTTGGACAGGTGTATGCGATCCAAGAACGGATCACAAGTGAAGGACTGGCGTTTTACTTGCTGGCTGTCATGAACAGTACCAGTATGTTTGGTCGAATCCTTCCCAATTTGGTACGTCTTGCTCCCTTCCCATCTTGCCCAGGTTGTCGTTTGCTAATATCATGTGTGTAGTTGTCGGATAAGATTGGGCCGATCAATGTTGTAATCCCTTGCGCACTGATTTCCGGCATTCTCTGCATTTGCTTCATGGCCGTCTCTTCTTCCGCAGGTATCATCGTCATGATGGCATTCTACGGTTTCTTCTCTGGCTCTTTCGTCAGCCTGCCCCCAACCATCATCGTACACCTCAGTGCCGACGCGCGGGACAAGATCGGCACTAGATTCGGTCAAAGCTTTGGCATTGTAGCCATAGGGTTGCTTGTTGGTACACCAATTGGAGGCGCAATCCAGGAACACGGCGGTTTCGACGATTTGTGGACCTATGGAGGTTGTTTGTTATTTAGTAGTGCGGCACTACTTACATGTGCGCGGGTGGCTTTCAAGGGACGGGGCCTCATGGTTAAAGCTTGATGAGAAACGGCTGACATGATATTGCATTAGATGATTATGACTTGAAAAGCCAACCAAAAGTTACATGTTTAAGTTGGTCTACGTATTATGATCCCAATTAATACCTCTATCATTTAAAAAAAATCCCGTGTGCGTTGAAATGAATGATGACTGCTGCTAGAATAGGAAAGATCAATTGCTGCTCAGCTCAATGCCCCTTCTCACAAGCAGCTTTCAAATCGGCATTGAACAACTCGAAGTTCTTCTTCGTCTTCTCGGCAAACCCCACTTGCTTCGCTACAGCGTTCCCACCCATGAGCCACCCCAACGCCCCACTAAACTCTTCGCTCTGCGTCAAGCGACAGCCCCCAGGTATCACTGTGCTCTCCTCAAACAAGAAATAATGTGTGCCTGTGAACAAGAGTGGTATGCTTCCTGTCCATGCAAATGTAGTCGGCGTGTTTTGCTAATACTTTCCGTCAGCGAAATGCTTCCATTCGAACAAAATAATAATAATACACATGGTTTTGGGGGGTTACGGATGGCAAACGTACTTGTATTACCGGGTTCATTTTTTGCCCACCTACTGCAAAATGCACCAAGAGTTTCTGTCCAGGCTCAAGGGTTCCGTGTGGTGCAATGGATGAGAAGAACGAGGTATGCCATTTGGATAAGGACGCAAAGTCGAGGAATTTGTCGCGCACTTGCGAGGGGGGTGAGGCGATGTCGATGGTTGTTACTATCGACATTATTTGATTTGGGCGTGAGAAATTATGAGTGGGTAGCTATAGGGCTGACGGCGAGATTCTTAGATGAAGAGGATAGTATTCCGTATGATGGTTCTTGAGAGATGAGAATGTCTTGGATCTTGGTGAAGGTGAGAGCAAAACTTATATCTATGTGTCGACTCATGATGCTCAAGTAACGGCGGACGAGAAAGAAGACTCTGCCTATTGCGGCTCTTTTCGCGGAAATGTGCATTCCGTGATACGACAAAATTGTGTTATCATCTGCACTGCGTGTGTTGGAACAGACCCGTGATGCACGACATGAGGCATCCAGTCTGCGCTAGTCTTGTTGCGGCTCAATGCGCGAGATCATCTTACACCAGGCGTAGCCGCCTAACTCAACCGACTTGCATCAGTGCCTGCATTAACCAACCCACCTTCTTCGGTTGCAATCATCTTGTGCGAATTACCATATCCGTTTGCGTCGTATCTAGCCCATGACTACCGATGGTCAATGTAGCCGGCCGTTCCAAAGGATGCTCCAACTGCCGCAAGCGCCGCGTCAAATGTGGTAAGTAAGCAATGTCCCTTGTGCGCGTCCCCGCAATGCTAGGCTGACATATTTGCCCAAGACGAGACACAGCCCACCTGTAAAAGATGTCAAAGGCTGGGTATCGCTTGCGACGGTCCCAGAACGCTGGTGTTCGTCACGGGAAAAATTGTCAGGTCCAGGCGGACGCAGCATTCATCGAAGACAACGACGGACGTGGCAACGACACCTGAATGGAAGACAGAGGATGTCGAGAAATCGGCTTCGGTATCTCCGCCATATCAATCTTCACCCCAACATGTAGGGTTGAGATTCAACGAATATGAAGTCTATATATGTCACCTGCGACAATACCTCTATCCTAATGGCCCCGTTGACCTGGGACTACAACAACTTCGGACTTCGGATCTTGCGATTAGTCGATATCCAACCATAGGTGCAGGCGCTAGTCCTCTGTTCAATCAAGCTGCCTTGACCTTTGCCACGTTACTATTTGGCGCCCGACACCACCAGGCTCGCATCCTCGCCAAGGGTTACGACATGCATGGTGTCGCGCTTCGGCAGCTGAACGAAGCACTCAGTGTTCCTGGGTGTCATGAGCGAGACGACATCATCAATGTCATCACCATCATGGCCATGCTTGAGTTGTGCTTGCCAAGTGGCCCCAGGAACTGGCTAAAACACATGCTTGGGCTCGAGCAACTCATAGCACTTCGTGACCCAGGTTCGTGGGCATATGCCTCAAATCAAACGCTGGAGTTGTACAAAGGTGTTCGTCACATGATCTTGCTTGCTTCGTTGCGAAATAGATCTCCATCTATTCTTGCTAGACCGCGATGGAAGGCCATGTTGCAAACGCCTCTCTCACTTGAAACAAAAGAGGAAAGGGATTTGCATGATGTAATGGCAGACTGCACGGTACTGATTGCTGCGAGCGACGAGGTTGCCAGTACACTCAACTTGCATGACAACGTACGCTTAAAAAAGATGGAAAAAATCCAAAGAAAAGCCGGTGAGCTACTAATGTTCCTGCAAACCTGGAAGCAGCAATGGGACAGCGAAAAGGAGAACTCTTGCACCACCGAAGATGACTTTGAGGCCATTTGCGCAGGTGGCCCGCAAGCACTGTGGACGGTATACAAATTCCGAAATGATTCCATCGCGCGCATGTTCATGCTCTACAACACTGCTATGATCCATGTACTTGAGATCGTCGAAGCAACCGAGGAGTTACAGGCGCAGTCGGGATTTCTGCGAGCGGAAACTAGCGGTACTCTCCATCTCATCCATGCAGCAGGCATCGATATCGCACGCAGTGTACCGCGTTATCTGCAGCAAAGGAGATATCGCGGTGATACCGGGTTTACGTCTCCGGTTGTGCAATGGGCGGTTCTTACGGCTTGGCAAGTACTTGGGCGCGATGAGTCTGCCGAGGGAAAGTGGATGGTGGATGCTTTGCAGGGGTATAGTGAGTATGCTATTGCGAAGGCTGCGTGGGAGGTTTGATTTTTTTGTCATTTTAGATTGTTGTCGTGTATATTCAATAAGGCAGTTGAGCGCAGCAAGTTACTTGGACTTGATAAATTAGCATTGCGGATAGAATGCGACGTGAAAGAAAGCTGAGACATGACTACTTTCTTAGAGCAAAGACACTGGAAGTCTCGATGTGGAATGAATACCCTCGACCCTTTTGATTGCTGGATTGAATTTCAGCCCAACGCGACTGCTGGCTCAAGGTATAGTAAGCATAATGGCAAGGACACGACATGTTGCCAAAAAAAAGTGAGTAAAACATATTTAATCGTTTTCGAAGTGTGTACATAATTGCAAATAACCGCACCAATAACGAGATATCCGTCTTTTGGAATATCTATCAAAGGCATCTTAGGGAATTTCATTGACACGAGGACTTCCGATGAAGATTGCTCGCCTATCTCCAAAAAAACCCATCCCTCGTTTCATCGTCAAGCGTTGTGAGAACCAAGAAAGCATGTAAATGACGATGAGATCTTACAAAAATCCCTATAATCTCTTACAATCAATATCTACCACGATGGATGAGGCTGTATATTACATGTGTTTCTAACATCACAGACTCTTGCGTGGGATAAAACGAACAAGGTAGGTACAATGGATGCTAATACGAATAGAAGAAGAAGAAGAAGAAGAAGAAGTTGAGTAGCAAAATACTCCAACGGATCGAGTTACGTCAAGGCCGCCTTGCCCTTGCTATATTCAGCGTCTAGCCATCGAACTATGCAACCTTTCGAAAGCCCAAAGAAGCGATCACTCCACTATTTTGGATGAGTAACAATGTAGTATTGCATGAGCTGAGTAGTATTGCAGGGATCTAGAATACACTTCGCAAGTTGCTCGCCTGATGCAGATGCCAGCTGTATGCAGCGTAACAACGGAATAGCTTCATCATATTATTAATAGTGCGCTTCCTTTTCCGAATTGGCTCGCATGTACTTGGTAACTTGTGCGGGCCTTTGTGGTACTAATCGCTATGAATAACAAGCGATGCGGGGTAATTTAATCACTGCTTCACCGACGTACCAGAATAGCTATGAGGTGGATGCTTGTCATTATTGATTGGAAATCTAGGGTTATATGGCCGAACACTCTTTTGATCACAAGGGAGATTCTGTATTACAATAATAATCATCTACTCAGCCGTTTTGGACGTTGCATTGTACCTAAATCACCATAGAATATAAGCCACTAAAAGATGAAGGTATAAAATATTAGCGTAAGACGAACTGACACCTACACCAACGCGCATTGATAGAACCCTTTTGGCCGTAAAAGTCTCTATGACTAGTGGTTATGCACTAAGTAGATGTAATGAGAAGTTGGGCTAACTACATGATCAACAGCACGTGAGAGAGCCTAGCCGCCTGGATACGCGACGTTGTCCAGTACCTTCCTCTTATAATCTGGCTACTATTCATGCACTCGGCCGTTTCGCCAGTCCACACAAGCGCTACAGACGGAGCAATGGTTGCAGCAACTCACCAGGATTCATTCAGCTGAAGGAAACCTCATGTTATGCCGGTAGGCGGGACTTGGGTATACGAGCAATGCGAGGTATTGGCCCCCAGGGCCCAATATCAACCATAAGCCTTGGCGCCTCTTCTCCAGCCTTCCTTGTTAACCTTGTTGGGGCTAAATGAAATATTAGAAGCAGTGCAGCGGATGAGGTATTCCGCTGCATGGTAGTATGGGCTCGTAAACTTCGTATTTTGAAACGGTTCGGGACTTTTGCTCGATCCTGAGGTTACCAATTCAAGGGCAGCAACTTCTAGAGAGGGAGAGATGGCAGATATAAAACCAATGCTAATTCTTGCCAGAAGGAAAGAATCATCACTATTCAGACGACTACTTTCTTGACGGTCTCAATTGCAATCAGCTCTTCCATATCCATCCCTCACCATGAAGTTTACTGCTTTCGCCATTGCCACTCTCCTCCCCCTGACGGCCCTCTCTGCTCCCACGGCCGAAGCCGGAGGCGCGTTGCTCTTTGCCCCAGAAGTCGAAGGCGAGCTCCCCGTCCTCCAGGACATCAAGGCCCGCAGTCTGGAGAAGCGGGCCATCACTGGCACCGTCACGGCTGATGCCCTCAAGCATCGCCGATGCCCGCGGACCTCGTGCACGGCCGACGGCCAGTTCTCACGTGGAACACGCATCCAAATCCGGTGCTTTACAGGCACGGATACAACGGTCGTCTCGGGAAATCCGTACGTAATGATTGCAGGACCCGGTGGAGCGTGTAGCTAATTGTCGACGTTAGATACTGGGGTAAACTCCAGGCAAGTGGAGTCGCAAACAACAACTGGGTGTCCCTTTACTATGTGACCTGGAGTGGTAGGCCTACGACCTAATGTAACTAGTATTGTCCGTTGAGATACTAACCTGCTATAGGGGGTATTCCCGAGTGCTAATTGACTGCAAAATTGGTTTGATACATGCTAGGTAGAAGCATTGATCGTAGTAGTAGTTTCAATGCTTGCTATAGTACTGTAACATAGGAAGAAATACTAGTATTCGGATGCTTCTTAAAGTAAATTGAATAAATCGAATGAATGCTTGTTGAATCCTCTCTTATCGATATCTCTGCTCTCCTAAGAGAGCACCAAAAGCGCTCTGTTGCTATATGGCAGCATATCCCTAGCGAACGACCATGAGCATCTCTAGCTGTTGCAGGCCAAACCTTGACAGTCGTCATTACCAGTACAACTTGCCCCAGCAGGTCTCAGAATAGCCGTTTTTGCAGTGCCTTTTTCATCTTCAATGCTTCTACGGATGATTGAATATATATACTGTCTCGTAGTAGTGGTGTGTCCCTTGATGCCGTAGTGATCATCGAACCATCTCAGTTCTCCGATATTGATCCCTTCGCAGTTGGGTTTAGTCGCAGCGTCGCCGAACCCATTCTTGATGTTATTATTGGAGTAGGCACACTATCTGGCGCTACTGAAACAGGTATTGCCCTCAGTCAATCCGATAGCAATGATTTAGACAGGAGCTAAGCGGACGCCTTGATCCATTATCAGACGAACATAGCAGGAAAATCTAACGAGGCATGCTAAAAGTACCGCCATTTTGTAGTCATCGGATTTGATTGATTGTGCAGGAAGCGGTGGAGTGTTATATGTTCACTTGATAGTGCAGAGGGCGACCACGCGATGGGTAGAATTCATGAACTAGGTGGGACGGCCGTGAAGACACCGAGGAGTGTTCTGAATTCATCGTATGAGCAGCCGAAGGGCGGAAGCAATATACAAGGAGAAAGTGTAGAGATCTCATCGATGGAGTTGGGGAGGCTAGCAAATATGAAATATTCTATATCTGAACTGGAAGTCGTCAATGCATGGATTGACCCGGGCTCTGGGGATGTGTCTGGCTTCGCCGCTCAATTTCTACGTCGGTGGACTTGAACAGCATGTTATACCTAGGTAGGTGGCTTAACAGCTGGATTTTTACTCAAGTCAGAGGATCACGGTTACATTCGCAGTAGGCCATTGAGTAGGGTATTTTAAGCTTTACTAGCATATCGCCCGTCTAAGCAAGCAAAGCACAGAGGTGGCTCTTGAAGTTCTCGCCTACAGTGGTGTCTGTAGCAGTACCGCCACAGTACTGCCGAGCTTAGATAAGCCTTGCTCCACTCACGCTGTGAGTTCAACATGTCGTTCCGCCGAATGTTCAAAGCTTGAATGTGGGTCTTCAACCCGGGGTAGCTGCATATTCTGCTCTGCCCCGATTGGCGCCCGATGGCCTACTCCACTACACTGATAAAGCTCTTACGTACTCACGTGTACATAATATCGTCCGCACCTAGCAACTTTGCTGTACAGTAATGGCATTATCAGGACCATTTTTGCCATTCATCTCCCCGCCTAGCTGGATCGTACTACCTTAATCGCCCTGCGTGTCTATGCTTTGCATTTCACATGGCCATAGTAGTCTCCAGTATTGCAGCATTGCTTTTACTTAGGTCTCTGCCACTCTTGCACTATTCTCCGAAACGCACTTAGCTTCTTCCCGTAGTTCTCATAATGGAAACTTTGTTATATTTCCTCGATACTTTCGCATCCCCGCGACGGTTCCTATCCACCCTTGGACTCGTTTCACTCGTTCTCTCCGGCTCAGCTGCAGTTCCAGATCGGAAAGCATTGATTATTGACACAGATATCTTCAGCGATGTTGAGTACGTGTGACACTATTGCCCAATGCCGCATCGATGCTAATCTACACTTTCCAGTGACGCCGCTGCTCTCCTTCTTGCTGCGACTGACCCCAGCGTCTCTCTCCTCGCCGTAAATGTGAATTATCCCTCTTCGTACTCTGCCCTTGCTACCTCAGCCCTCCTTGCACACTACGGGCATCCAAGTACTCCCATTGGTCTCCGTCGACCTATCACAAACGAGACTTTCTTTGATGACTGGGCATATGAATTTGGCGAGTATACAAGCAAGGTGGCCTATCATTGGTCCGGTGGTTCTCTACCGTGGTTTAAGCCCGAAGATGCATGGATTCCCGTGGAATTGTATCGAAAGGTGCTTTCGGAGCAAGAGGACAACAGCGTGACGATTGCTAGTATTGGCTTTTTGGAGAATGTAAGCTGCGCACGCTCCTTCAAGAAGAGGATGAGAAAGTAGTAGTGCTAACTAAAATAGCTCTCAGTACTCCTTAATTCAACAGCAGACAAGTACTCGACGCTGTCGGGCGTTGAACTTGTTGAGGCCAAAGTTGCCGAGCTAGTCGTCATGGGTGGCGACTATCCCTCTGGATACGAATTCAACTTTTGGTCTGATAACCCTCTCGCGACCGCTCATGTCGTCAATACCTGGCCCGGTCGCATAACGTACCTGGGCTCCAAAGCCGGAGAGGCTGTATCTTCTGGTGCTGTCCTAACAACAAGAGGCCCAATGAATGATCCAGTAAAGAGGGCGTTCGAACACTATATTGGGTACAACAGATCACGGTATTCATGGGATCCCTTGACAGTAGTGTATGCGTGTCAAGGGCTCGGTGACTGGTTCGAGTATGGGGGATTAGGAGGTTACAATCACGTCTTTCCTAATGGGTCGAATGTCTGGGTTGAAGGAGGAGAGGGAAAGGAGCAGCAGTATTTGAAATTGAAGATGGACAATGAGACCATCGCGAGGGAGCTGGATAGTATGCTCTTACATGGAGCCAATCTCTGCGAGAAATCATAGATCACTAGATTTCCTCGTTCTCAGCTGCAGGCCCTCTTAATGTTATGCTCTCTTCATCTGATATGTGTATGTACTGGGTCAAGCGATTGCCTCAATTGACGGTAGGTTTAAATAGGCTTGTAACGAGACACAATCTTAAATATAACAGAAGAAGTTTTGCTATCCCGTTGACTCAGCTACACTTTTCAGCTGATCCATCTCCCGCGGTCGTTTGAGAAGGCTGAGCTATGCGATATGCAGCATGTTACAGTCCAGAGTATGGTTATTGGTCAGCCTTGTCGTGTGTCAAATCCACAATGCAGCCATGCCCTACTGCTACCTAACTTAACCGTGATTATCTAGTTCAAAGCTAGGAAGCTGCACAGCTCTGCAACAGCCACAAATCGACACCATGGTATACGCATCGGGCATTAACCGAGTATGAAAAGTAGGTGGAAAGTAAAAATGAAAATCAGAGATCAGAGCAAGCCCTATTGATATCCATAGATGCCGGGACAGAGAAGCTATCATGTAAAGATGGAAAGATAGTTTAGGATTATAAGATAATGATAGAAGGCCTCAAACATGACAGAGCTAGGGATTCTCAAGACAGTATAGGGAGCTGATGCTCCTTTACTCTTAGTGAATGTAACAGCTGTGCAGAACCTTGGTGAGCGAGCCTACTCACCATTTGTCTCCTTTATTATCTTGAACAAAGTCATTATCAGTTCAGTATTTGAAATGCAGAAAGCACCTCCTGGTAAGCACACTAGATCATTCTTCCTAAAGCCTTTTACCTTTCATCTATTACCGAACGTGTAAGCATAACAACGCGAGCTTAATATGCATTGGACCGAAGATTTACTGACGCAGGAAAAAGCTCTTGTCAATGCTGCTGCTGGTAGTAATGAGTCATAACTACGAGGGAAAGCATTAAAGAATAATACGCAAGGGCTGCGTGAGGAATGCGAAAATCGGAAACTCGTGGGTGCTGCGACACGACATGATTAAATACCAGCCCTCCACCATATGATTAGACGCTGCGTTGGTTCGAAGTATATTCAGGTTTCCGGCAAAGAAAATTTTATGCCAACTTTGAATCTGCTGCTCGCTCATGGCCTAGAAATGAATTAGGCAGAAGAAGATTCCTCTTACCAGGGCCCGTTTATGTGGCCCTGTATTCATGAATAGAAGAAGCTTGCATCACGACTAGAGCATGACGTTAGTCTTGCTACGCTTGGAGAGCAACCGCACAAAATGCCCACACTCCAAGCGGTCGCCGAGAGTGGTGATATCGTAACATTTGAGTATTTGTGCTCTAGAAAGACTCCTACATGACACCTTGCACTATACAAAGCCATCATGGCAGCTGCGTTTAGTCATGATCGTTTGGGCGACCCGAAGAAAGACAATGAAAAGAAGCGGCAGAACAGAGCGTGGTACACCCAATGTATGGCTGTGGTGTGCTTGACGTTATGGTGGAGAACGATCTCTTGACGCGCATCTATGAGAATGACTTCGGGCGGACTAATGCTTATGCCAGCCTCACAGATGTTATTATGCTCCTCGCTCACGAAAACCCACATTTGCGCATACTTCAACTGGATGCAGGCACAGGTAGAGTTACAAGAGTCACAGTAGCCCTCGGAATGACACAGAGCTGCCCAGGTATGAGCAATATGACTTCACTGATATTTCTAAGGCCTTCTTAGGTGTTACTCGGGAAAGCTTCTATGACCATCCCCATTTAATCTTTAGAACCTCGGCAATGAGAAAAAACTCACTGATCAGGACTTTGAAGAGCATTCCTATGATATCGTTTCTGTATCAAACGTAAGTCTGCATTGTGAAGAACTGCCACAATCTAGTTGCTAATGTTCGATTGTATCATACATACAACACGAAATGTTGTATCCTGTTTACGGGACTGCAAGAGACTTCTCCGGCCCGACGGAAAGCTCGTGATCGTAGAAATAACAAAAGACTGACTTTTAACCGGCTTCACGCTTGATGTCCTACCTGAGTATTGGCTCGGTGCGGACGATGGGCGGCCGAGTAGCCCTTTCGTTTCCAAGGCTAAACGAAAGAACGTATCGCTCGACGCAGAACTGACTAGAGTAGACATCATGCTTAACAAATATGACAAACCAGCCAATTTCATGATCCTCATAGTAGCCAGCAACAAAAGTAGAGATATTGACACATATCCTAATGTTGCTAATGGCGTGTACTGCAGCAGCGGGCATGTCAACGCCAGCCAAATTGAGAAGGCCAAGGAGGCGGGGCCATCAAGTGTGACCCTGGCACGAGGATCGTTCGACTCTGTCATTATGCTAGGTAGTAAACACAACGCTTACTGATTGTACAGATCTACGAACATGAGCCACAGCCAATCCAGCGTGCCATCGAGCGCAGATACGCATAATTCGGCATTGACACATGCTCAATCGTATTCGAACCTGTACGAACCTCCTTCCTTTGAGACATGTGTACCATCATGTTAGCAGAACTTGAAAGTCCCTTATTGGCACGCATAACTTCAGCCGAGGCGATGGCTGTGCAGCGTTTATACGCAACAGGCAACCACTCCACTGTGGGTCACTGATGGTGAAGTGATATAAGGGTATGGACCAGGAAAATCTCCTATCTTTGGCCTCGCCGAAGCTATTTTAGCTGAGCAGCCTTCGTCCCATCTCCCCAGTTTAGACATCGATAGTGAGAACGTACGTCAAGAGTATAGCAATCGCGTACTCGTTATAGACCCTTAGACATAATCCTATTAAGACCCACACGTAGAGATGAATATCGAGTTGACAGAGAAGGATAGATTAGTGCATATTAGTCGCTATGTGAGTGAATACATAGAGAAAACTGAGTTTGAGCGCAATCTAGTCTTCAACACGACTATGAGCCATATCTTTCTGGGCGACCATGCCCTTGCGCTACAGGTTGAGAGCGTTGGCAAGATCGAAAGCTTTTATTCTCACCGGCGAAACCTAGAACCTCTGGTTGAGGGCGAAGTATCAATCAAGGTGGGTGCTATTTTCCATTGAACTCGCAGGTACCTATAACACCTTCGTTTCATGATCCTTGAGCAACGCTAACACATCACCAGTTAGTTGGTACTCTTAAGAATAAACTATCTTTGATAGGTTTCGGAATGGAAATAGTAGGCAGGGCCTGTGTAATTGGCTCCAGAATCCGCCCGTTGAAAGCTGTAAATTACGTATGCTGTGTGTGTGTGTCTACGCCATCTTGACATAGCTGTCGTTGTGAACAAAGGTGATTGGGAGATACCTTTAGTGAAGGGGAGGAACAAAGACTTGCTTTATCAGATTTATGTCGTAATCACATCTCTACGAAGTCGCAAGCTTGCTACGTCTATCCCGTTACTCTACTATAACAATGTCTTTATTATCTAGCGGACTCTTATTAGCGGCTATGCTTGAGTTATCCTATCCCTAGTCTTTTAGCCTAATTGTACTACTACTTGGACTTATCCTATCTCCACCAGTGACCTGGACATTATATTGCTTCGAACTATGACTCGTGAGTTGGATATCATGGTCGCCATGTTGGCTTGGATGCTCCTGATACCCTGCTCGTGATGGATGGCCAGACGTCCACGCGCGCGAGCGCTTGCGACTGGCACTATCGTGCGTTGACGTATCGTTGAGGACCTGACGGAGCAAAGGACGGAGTGTAGCAGCGGCCGAAGTAGCGAGGCCAATGCCGGTTTCGCAGGTAGACCAGATTGCAACATCGATGGTGGAGTAGAGGAAGTCGGGGATATCGTTGAGGCCATTGATGAAAGGCAGGCGGACGATAGTCGCTGAGGAACCACTAGTAAGGCATTAGTGTACAATGTCCAGGATTATCTGGAGGTAGAATGATCTTACATAGCGCAACAAGCGAGTACAACGCCCACAGTGACTTTGTTCCTCTTGTTCATCTGTAAACCATGTACGATGAATATTGGAACGATACTGAACGTCCAATCGGTTATACATGACAATGCAGAGTAGCCATAGAACGAATTGACAATGACTTTGGAGGGTATGCAGTGGCCTTTACCACCGCGAAATTGCTCCCAGAAAAAGGAAACCGGCCAGCACTGGAAGGTGAAAATGAAGAAGAAGTACACGCTGTATACCTGGATGGCAAGCAGGGAAGTCCAAAGAATGATGCGATGAATTCTCTTCTGGGCGATGCGCAGCAGGAAGATACCGATACTGGATTTGAGAAAGATGTTCGTGACAACATAGGTCGGTTCGCAGGCCCACCACCACTACTGCGAGTCAATATCAACGTAGGTTATACTGTGAATGTGACATTACACACCTTCATGCCAACTGGGTAGTTTTCGTCGGGAATAAGATATCGTCGTTTTCCAGTTCCGTTCGAAATACCCAGACGCGCTAGGGTACAAAAGACCAAAAATGAAACCAGCGTAAGGACAGAAAAGTAGTCATCGGCCGAGAAGTTCTTCACAAGTACTAGTTTGCAGTAACATCGGAGCATCACTAGCAGAATGCAGATGCACATGAAAAAGCCAAGCACACCAATGAATTCTCCGGATCGATCATCGCGTGCCATTCTTGTTGTTAGAGATTTGGTGTAGAGATGGGACAAACTCACAATCCAGCGCGCAGGCAAGACTGTTATGAAAGCATCGCTCTTTGCACGTCCTTTTCTAAAGGGGTTGACATGACTCTGTACGCGCCTAGGCGTACTACCTATGTGGAGAAGGAATTTCCGTCAACTCGGAATACAATCCAACGCAGTCTAGCTCTCATTCCTACCCGTGTTGTTTCAGCCCTAAATCGGCAATGAATTGCCGTGCGGGACGGGTAAGATGGGTTAGCGGTGACACTTGTTCAATCATTGCTTGGCTCGGTTTGATCGTGCGATTACTGTCCGTGCTCACCCAATGCAACAATCAGCCAATGCAACACTATCTGCCCCACCCAAAATATCAACCCACCATTTTCAACACGTGATATCTCCACCACTATAACAGCTCTTATAAAAGCAATTATAGTAATTAATTTATAAGGTCTAGAAGGTTAACTTTTATACTATATAGCTATAAAAAAGTTTAGTATTAAG